TAAAGGAGGAATTGGGAGGAGAGAAGGGAGGAGGCTCCCATTGGGATGTAAATTGAATAAAAAACCTTGTTCTTAAGTTTTTAAATTTTAGTGTGTGTGTGTGTGTGTGTGTGTGTGTGTGTGTATTCTTCAGTGTAGTTGCCTGTGAAGACACTTGAAGAGGGCATTGGGTACCCTGGACTTATAGGTGGTTGTCTAGTTACTGCTGGACATGTGTGCCAGGAACTGAACTCAAGTCCTCTGCAACAGCACTGTGTGCTCTTAATCCCTGAGACATCTCTCAATGCCCCAAACTTGCATTTTGCCATGCTTTGTCTTTTGAAGTAGTTGTTATCCACATCAGCCAATATTATCATAGAAGATATATCTTAGATTACAGATGATGTCTGTTGATGCGGAGAAGACAGCTTCATCAGTGAAGTTCTTACTGTGTGTGATGATGAAGGTGGCTAACTTGACACAGCCTAGGATCACCTGGCAAGAGAGTCACAACCATCGATTGTCTAGATAGATCAGATTTGCCAGTGGGCATGTCTATGGGAGACTAAGTTAATTGATGTAGGAAGACCCAGCCCACTGTGGGTGGCACCATTCTCTAGGCAAAGTTTCTGAACTGTGTCAAAGTGGAGAAATCATGATGATTACTAGTAAGCAAGCACCCAAATATCCATGTATTCATTTTTCTTTGCTCTTTCCAGTTCCTGTCTTGACTCCCTTAGAATAATTGACTTTATTCTGGGATTCTGAGCTGAAATAAACCTATTATTCCCTATGTTGTTTTTGGTAAGGGCATTTTATCATAGCAACGGAAATGAAAGTAGAACTCCATCTAAGCGTGAGAAACTGGGTTTAATCAGCAGTACCCATGTATACAAAAAGCCATTGTGTATATGCTTATAAACCTAGCACGGAGGAGGTGGAGATGGGTGGGTCCCTGAGACATTATGGACAGGTAGCTTAACCTACTTGGCAACTCCAGGCCAGTGCGAAATTCTACCTCAAAAACCAAAGTAGATTTTTTTTTCAAGGATGATACAAACGTGCACACACATACATATACATGAACATATATATATATATATATATATATATATACACACACACACATATGTATATATGTAGATACTCACATATGAAACATGAAAATATTTATTAATACATACATATATGTGTGTGTGTGTGTGTGTGTGTGCTTTTATCAAATGTATGTCTGTACATCACAGAAGAGGGCATTGGATCCCTGGGAGTGGAGTTACGGACTCTTGTGAGCTGCTGTGTGGATGCTGTGAATCAAGCCCAGGTCCTCTGGAAAAATAAGTTCTCTTAACTGATAAGCCATTTCTCCAGGTTTGCAGCACACATGAAACTTGTTCTCATAAGGTTGCGTGAAATATTAAAAAAAAAAATGGCCATCCACGCTACTGCTGACATGGCACCGGTGGACAGGCCGGCCTGTTCTCAGCCTGGCAGATTCTTTGACTAAGAGCACTGAACTCTCTCCACCTGGCTCTCCAAGTTCCCATGGCAGGCCGCTGCCACGCATGTCCCACACTTCCAAATTCCAGTGGCTAGCTGGGGTGACCTGGCACCGTACCTTTCTCTGGAATCCAGCTGGGTCACCGCATGAAGGAAAACACCACAAAATCTTAGTTTAGAATCAACAGGCCACCTAAAGTGTGTGTGTGTGTGTGTGTGTGTGTGTGTTTTCGTGCGCGGATGACTCCATGCTCTCTCCAGTCCAGAGGGTAGTTCTTTCTCCTGCCTCCCTTTTCCCCCTCCCTGATCCGGAAGCTCTGCCTACTTGCCCAGTGATTGGCTCTTTGAAATCTTTATTCCTTAGGGAAAGGTTCTGCCACACATAAGCCCCCACATTTGGCAGGGATTTGTTCAATAGCAATTCATATTGCTATCATCCATATTAACAAAGAAGATATGGCTTAGATTAAAGAATAAAGTCCGCTAATGGATGGAAGAGATCGGGAAGGAGGAGGTTACAAAGCAAAGCTGACCATCGCAGATACGGGCTTTTTGCTGCAGTTGCTAAAGACCTGCTTGATAGAGTGACCTTGTAATATCAGAGGGTTGTAGATGTTGGTGAAGCTGGTACTCAGATGTTCTCATTCCCGGGCTGCTGCTATTCCTCCATGTCTACGCTTGGCATCCATGCAACACTCTCTCCCCACCTTGTTTAAAAAATACTTAACGTATGTGTATGTCTGTATGCATGTGCATGCGTGTGCATGTGCATGTGACTGTGTGTGTGAACACATGTGTGAGGATACTTGAGGAGGCCAGAAGAAGGATTCCCTGCAGCTGGACTTACAGGTGGCTGTGAGCGTCTTAAGTGGGGGTTCAGGGAACCAAATTCATTCCCTATGCAAGAACAGCAAGTGCTTGTAGCCACTGAATGTCTCTGCAGCCTCAGTATTTGCCTTCTTAGGAAAGATCCTGTTCCAAGTAAATCATTTTGTTTTGTAAGTAACTCCTCATCCATGCTCATTGTAAGGGACCTCAATAAACTCATTGGTTGACCAGGCTACACTAGGATGGGATAGTACTTTGTCCTGTCTGTGTGCCCTCTGTATCTGGGATGCACAGGTATTTCCTAACATCTCTCCTGGGAACATCTCTCACCAGCATCCTGGACAGGAAATGAACCCTCTGAATTCATTCCAACCCCCAGGTGATCAGCTCAGTGTTAGATGAGATGCTCACCCCTTACATCTTTATTTATTTATCTTTTTTAGGATTTATTTATTTTATGTTTATGAATATACTGTCGATGTCTTCAGACACGCACCAGAAGAGGGCATCACATGGTTGTGAGCCACCATGTGGTTGCTAGAATTGAACTCAGGACCTCCGGAAGAGCAGTCAGTGCTCTTAACCGCTGAGCCATCTCTCCAGCCCCACGTCTGACATCTTAACTGACTTTTTAAATGTAGGCTTTTAGGGAGAAATGCTCATTTGACTTTGCAGTAGATCGGTGTGATAGCTGCTCACCTAGCCTGCCTTTAGTGGAATACAGTTTGAAGAATCTTTGTTTAAATTGCTTGTGCCTATATACGTGTATGGACACATATGTGTCATGGCTTACATGTGGAAGTCAGAGGATGAATGGCTGAAGTTGGTTTCTCTCCTCTACATTGTGAGACCTGAGGATTGAACTCAGGATGTCATACTGGGCAGAGAGGACCTTTATTTACTGAGTCACGTAACTAGCACTGGGAGAATTAAAACTCTGTCTCTCTTTGTCTCTGTCTCTCTATCTCTCTTTATTTCTGTCTCTCTGTCTCTCTTTGTCTGTCTCTGTCTCTTTGTCTGTCTGTCTGTCTGTCTGTCTGTCTGTCTGTCTCTCTGTGTGTGTGTGTGTGTGTGAATGAGTGTGGGTGTATATGTGCCATAATGTATTGGAGTTCAGAAGACAATCTCAGGCATTTGCCTTCCACGTGTTTGAAACTCCATATACCAAATTAGTTGGTCTGTAGACATCTGGTGATTTTGTCTCTGCCTCTTACCTCAAAACAGGAGTGCTGGCATTATTGACATGCGCACTACTTGTATCTGGCTTTATGTGAGTTCTGGGTGTGGAGCTCAGCACCTCATGCTTGTTCTACTAGCTTTTTACCCATTTAGACATCGCTTCAGGCTACAAATGAAAGAAAGTGAACGAAGCCCAACATCATAGGCTAAAGGGGAACACAGCTGTTATCCTATTACTTGAGAGGCAGAGGCAGGAGGATTGCTACAAGTCTAAGAACAACCAGTGCTAGTGATATCCTGATTCAATAAATAAAACAATAACAGCAAAACATAACCTAAACTAGAAAACAGGGTGATTTAATACCCATAGGGATAATTGTGTCGAGGTGCTACCTTAATCCCACGTTCATTACCCTCACCATCTGTGGATTGCTCTTCACGTTCTGCCTCTTCCAACCTCTACTCTACTGGCAAAACCCAGAGACTCTCCTATAAAATTTGGCTTAATGTCTCCTATTCATTCCCTAAGTGTTGGAAAGGATAATTGGGAGGTAATTGCATTACTACACAGTTTGTAGTTAACCTTCTATTTTGGCTTTTAATGTGCGCATCTTTGCTCCAGGAGTACATTACGGATAATTATAGGCAGTTCCCTGCCAGATCCAGGAAAGGCCTTTGCAATGAGTACAACAGCCTACCAGGAAGGATGTCTTAACAGAACCGAGCTTGAACTAGATCCCAAAGGGTAAATGAATGAAAGTCAACTTGACATGAACTTTGGCCAAGTAGAGTTGGAGATAGGAATGAGATAAAATTCTTTTTTCTCTTAAAATTTGAATATCTCTCTCTCTCCCTCTCCCTCTCCCTCTCCC